CCTGGGAGGGATAACTACGTCTCGGCCGATGAGGAAGCTATGAATATCGTAGGAATCATCGGGAATGTCGCAATCAAGGTAGGTCGAGTGCATGTGTTGGTTAATGCGTTAGTCATAGACGTACATTCTTATTCAATATTGTTGGGACTACCCTGGGCGATGGCAGTAGGGGCTCGAGTCCATTTCGATTCAAGACAACTCGTCCTCACTCAAACGGGAGGGAAGCCGCAGACGCTCCCTCTCCGAATCTCCACTCGATCCCCGCGGAAATATTCCGATATTAATCGGATAGGGATGATCCGGAGTACTGAGAAGTCCCCCTCGAACCCAGAAGACGAGTTTGATGAGCACGAGTACGAGGAAGAACACAGCGCAATGCCCAGCCGCGAAGAGTGGAAGCAGTTAGTCGACCTGTTCGATTGCGAGACGAAAGAGGAATTTCAGATGATTCCCGCAACAACTCGGACGTTCGATCTAAGGTCGGATAACAGCGACTCTAGCCGTCCCTTACCTATGGAAAATCAGACTCTCCCTACGACCTTTTTGGGAGAACCGATCTTGCAAGTCTCAGACATGGCCGATCTTTTGGAACCCCCTCGCACATTATACGAGGGCACACTGTCCCTCTGAGCAAGATATCAGCAGATGAACCAATACTTGGATCTCTCCGTCTCCCCTCCCCGATCACTACTCACGCAAGGAGTCGTGGTCGCCTTGATCCAAGAAAAGGCAGAAGCCCCGATCACCGACGTTCCGGATCTCATGCAGGAAATGACGGAGTTGACGGGAGTCGGGATAGCCAAAAGCATCGATGACCCTGAGACAGACGCTGAAATTAAAGAAACCGAAATGATCACTCCAGCAGAATCATAGATGATCGCTACCATCTTTTCAGTCCGAACTAGCAGTTCAATGTTTTCCAGTGTCCACAACAGGCGACCGCGAAGCTTGGAATGGATTGACACGCCTCTGAGCTCGGAAAATAATACGATAATCACCATTCCCAATCATGTCCCCAAGGATGTCCGAGAATCCCTGATTAATGTATTGCATGACTATGCCGATGTGTTGAGTATGGATGACAACGATATTGGGCTATCTACTGTAATTGAGCACGCGATCCTTACGGGGGATCATCCACCTATTAGTTGTGCTCCGTATCGATACTCACCGGCGCAGAGAGCCGCAGCGTTCAAAAGAATCAAGGAGTTCGAGGCTAATGGTTGGATTGAGCCCGCTATCAGACCATGGTCATTTCCAGTAGTGATTGTGCCAAAGAAAGCAGGAGGAATTCGCATCTGCATTGATTACCGAAAACTGGACGATATCACGATTAAAGATGTGTATCCTCTTCCTCGGATTGATGAATTGTTGGAGGATATTGGTGGCGCTCGATTCTTTAGCAAGTTTGATATTCGACACGGATTCCACCATCTTCTGGTTCGAAAAGAAGACCGCCCGAAAACGACGTTCATTCTTTTCGAAGGGACTTGGCAATGGGCTAGATGTCCGATGGGGATTTGCAATGCCCCAGCCACGTTTCAGCGCGCGATGAACATGGTCTTCCAGAATTTCGTGCGAAAAACGCGGCTAGTGCAAAGCATAATCAATTATTGTGTAATTGTGTATATGGATGATATCCTTGTGTTCTCTACTTCCTATGAGGGACACGTGCAGCACATTAAGTGGGCACTACACACACTCAAGGACGCAGGGTTCAAGGTGGCGGTTGAAAAATGCCAGTTTTTCCTCACAGAAATCTCCTTCCTCGGCCACGTCGTCACGAGCCAGGGGTTGCAGCCAGATCCCCAGAAGGTGACAGCAGTAAAAGACGCGCCTGTACCGACTTCCATAACGCAGGTCCGTGCCTTTTTGGGTTTGGCGTCGTACTATCGAAGGTTCGTCGAGGGATTCGCAGCAATCGCGGGACCACACACGAATCTACTAAAAAAGGATCAACCGTTGATGTGGACCCCGCAGTGCGATCGGGCTTTCGGAGAACTCAAGGCGTTCGTGATTTCGGCCCCAGTCCTCATAAGGCCGGACCCAGGGAAGCCCTTTGTTCTCATAACCGATTGGTAGTCAGAGGCGGTTTCCGCAATCTTGGCTCAGGTGGGACCCGACGGTCTCGAACACGTGGTGGAATACGCATCTAAGACGGTGCCGACCTGCAAGCGCAACTACGGGGCCCAGGCGGGAGAGTGTTACGCAGCCTTATGGGGGATCGGCCACTTCCAAGCATATCTGCACGGTCGAAAGTTTACATTGGTAACCGATCACAAGCCGCTGTTGGCGCTGAAGAAATCCAAGGATTACTCGGGTATGATCGGACGATGGGCCACCATCCTGCAGAGCATGGACTTTGGCATCCGTCATCGGAAGCACGAGAGGCACGAGAATGCTGACGGGTTGACACGACTGCACCGAACCGAGAAGGTCCTCAAGACCGAAGAAGTGATTCCGTGGAATGACCCGAAGGAAGAAAGCGGACCGCGATACGGACAGGTGGAAATTCTATCAAAGGAGTGAGTGACACGTAGCTTGCTCTGACCTCTCTGCAGCCCCCATCATTCTCTCTCCCCCTTCTTTCACAATGGCTACTCCACCTCTCTCTGCGACCCCTTCTTTCCCTGCTGATTCCGACCCTCTCGCCAGCTTGGCCTTCCTTGCCACCCTTCCCGACAGATTCTGCTATTTTTGCATGTGTATCACACGGGTATATGGGGTGAATTGTCACCCTTTTGAGACCGGATTCGTTGAATGGGTAAATTGTGCCACGTGTGTCAATCGTGCGTACGGTGCGTGTGTTCGATATCAAACAAGTAATAGGGAATGGAAATGCCCTCTGTGTAGGATGGACAAACTACCTACTGAGGCTCGATTCGAGGCTGCCTGTACGGACGACCCTGAATACGACGAGAAATACCGACGGGCGGAAGTCTGGACGGATAAAATCCTATTGGCTAAACTGGCTGGGTTACCCTTGGATCATCTCACTAAGCACGACAGACGTCGGGCTACCGAGAGATCTCGGGATTACCGATGGATCAACGGTCACCTATAAAAATGTAAAACTGATGAATCGGGACTATGGTTGACGGTTCCCCATCCTTTTCAGAGATATGACTGGACTAGGTCCGCACACGAGGAATAGGCCGCTCATTTTGCGATACGTGTCACCGAGGTAACTATCGATCAAAATCGATGGTTCTGGTCTAATATCCGCGACGATGTGAAGCACGTGGTCACTAATTGTCTAGTCTGTGCTGCCGACCGCGCGCCCCTTCGAGGGCCGAATACGATCGTTCCAACGGAGGTAGAACGGCCCTTTCAGCGGGTCAGTATGGATACGACTGACATAGACGTGCCACCTGGCCCCAACCGTTGCGAATACTCCATCCTCTTAGTATTGATCGATCATTTCTCGAAGTATATCGAAGTTTACCCGTGTAGAACCCGAAAGGCCGCAGAAATAGCCACATACATCGATCAGTTTCTCTATACTCACCTAGATACAGAAGAAATTCTAACCGACAATGGGTCCGAGTTCAAAGGTGAGGTAGAGGAATTACTCGCACGAAGAGGCATTACGCTTCAACATACGGCACCCCACGTTTCCCGGTCCAACGGGTTGGCCGAAAATGCCAATCGATTGATTAAGACTGCCCTTTGAAGAAATCTAGCGGCGGGTGACACGCGTCCCTGGCCCGAGATTGTCTATCAGATCGTCGGAATTCACCGGGCCACCCCCCATGAATCCACGGGGTTCACCCCCTTCCAGCTTCGAGCCAATAGCCTCCCATGTGTCGATTACTGGGGCAACTCGAAAATTGCCGAAGCAGGGGGTAGAGACACGCGTGCCGCCCTTAAGGCCGAGGCCAAAAGGTATGCCGATTTAATGTAGAGGGCCGTACCTAAATTGACCCGGAAGAGACAGAAAATGACCGAACTGGCCCACGGTGGACAGGTCCATAGCTACGAGGCTCGGAATGGAAATGCGGGCCCACAACACCAATATAAGTTAGGGGACCTCGTGCAAGTACGCAAATGTGCACGCGACCGTAAACTCGCTCCCAAGTTTTCTGGCTGTTTCCGCATCGTCGAACTCGGTCCTAACGGTGCCAACACGGTGCACATCACGCCCGAGGCAAGCGCCAGCCATAGCTCTGTCCCCATCATCCGCCATACCTCTTATATCCGTCGCCTCCCTCCCTCTGACATCCCTCCATCTCCCTCGTCCGCTGAAGGAGAGGACAGAGACGATCTAGTCCCCGCCTCGCTCTCTCCCTCCTGCTCCCCTCTTTCATCTTCCTCCCCGTCCTCGCCGTGAGTTTTATCACGGAGCGAGCTCTTGGAGATCATCTGTTGCAGCCACGTGGCTACATCTCCGAGATTCGGCAAGTTCGTCATCCACGGCCCAGTCCTGATCTGCGAAGGGTATCGCAGTTTTTTTGCACCGATGGAGTGTGTGCCGCTGATGCTTTTCGATTCGCCGGGAGTCAGCAGGCAGTAATATTGGCGGAGGTGGTGGCACTTCATCGACGAGAGGCTCCCGGGACGAGTCACGTCACCACGGTCGCTGCTTTCAGTGGCGACATCAGCACGATTAGCCCTCTGCGGCATACCGCGATCTTGACTTCCTTGCGGGAGTGGGCACAGCAGGTGTCGACTGATTGGCGTCACAGTCTCGCGCGCCCGGGCTACAATCTATTCCCGACATCCGGGACGGACTTCGACGTTCGCACTTCTCCGCGTTAGCCGACAATCGCGCTCCCCGCCCTCATCCCCTTCCAACGCCCCCAATGAACCGCGCCGCTCCCCTCGCTCCCCTCTCCACCTTCGGTCTCCCCTCTCTTTTTCCCACCTTCTGGCAATCTGACCTCCATCCTCGCCTTTCTCTCTTACTCGAGCCTCTTGTCGTTCCGCTCCTCGATCCTGGGCATTGGCGGTTGTGGCGCAAACTCTTTGTCGATTTGTCTGTATGCTTGACCCGGGTGCAGGTGACGTGGACACGGAACAGTGAGCAGCCTGCGTGCATCGAGTACCTGGAGCTCTTGATCCTGCAAGCTTGGAGAACGGACGTGGAAGGCGATCTTCTCGGTTTCCTCTTCGGATCGGTGCAACCAGGCCATCGCCAGTCTATCGTCCAAGAGCTCATCGTCCCGCTCGCGCAATTGGCTGACGATCTCCCCCTCGACATCGTTTCGCAGAGCGACGACAGTCCCGCTCCACACATCGTCACGCGAACATTGGCGCCGTATCTCCAGTGGACCGCTTGCTTGGAGGAACCTGAGAGTGATAGCACTCTGCCATCATGACAGGAATACTTGAAGCCGTACGGGATCATCGATCACACCTTCTATCCGAAGGAGCCTGAGGCACTTGAAGGAGAAGAGGAAGTCACTGAAGAAGAGGGTGATGTCGACGAAGAAACGTTGGAGGGGAGTTATAGTGAGTACAACGAAGGGGAGCAGAGTGAGGAGGAGGAGGAGCTAGAAGAAGAAGACGAAGAGGAGGAAGCCGGATCGGAGTGGGAGGACTTGCCGGAAGAAGCGGCGCGCACAGGCACGAAAGCGGAAGATGCCGAAGCGGCACGTAGAAGGGAAGAGATCGCCGTCGAGAAAAACCAGCTGGAGATCACCAGCGGGGCAAGCTTGTGCATCAACGACGATCCGACCAGGGATCCAGAGCCCCCCGAGCCCGAAGATGGCGGATCAGCAACCGCGGCTCCGAGCACATCGCGACAGAGACGGAGTCGATCCCCCTCCCCCTCCACCCCAACCCGTCCCCCAGTTCGTCCACGTACCGATGCGGGGAATCGGCCTTCGTCCCCGGTCATTATCCCGCCGTCCCCTTGATTACCTTACCCTCTCCCAGATCTCTACTCCCGTCACCTTTCCTCGCAACCCCTTTCCTCCCAACACTTTCGAACACTTCTACTCCACCCGTCTCGCCGTCACCGTCCATCCCAGCCCTTCCCTTCAAGCCGCGAACCCCACGTTCTGTCTACACGTCCCCCTGTTCAGTGCCGCGTGGCAACAAAATAATGCAGTAAAAGTCTACTGCGTAATCATGGGGACCATCCCCGCGTGTCGCCATCACGAGCTGTTTCGCGCGGCACTCTTTCGCACCTTCTCCACCTTCTACCCTGACTACCTCGCCTCCCTACCCCGCAGCGGCGATCGGTTTCCTCGCTTCCACAGGATCGTCCGCTACGAGGAGCTCCCTATCACAGAGGAAGGGATAACCCGATACCTGCCCCCACTTCCTCCACGCCCTCCCCGTCAACACCCCCCCATGTATCGTATCTACTTTCCCATTCCCACATGGCGTTGAAGGCCACGTGTCCCCCGAGCGGTATGAACCAGCAGTTTTCGCGAAGATCACGCCATTGACGATGACGTCAACTTACGCTCTGGTTCAATCGACTGCGCAGGACTGGGGTGCAGAGCACACGGAGATCCGATGAACCATGATGGTGTCACCTGGACGATCTCCGAAGCTCGAAGGACAGAGGGTTGCATATGACAGGGTTGCAGAGAGCGGGATCTGAAACCGCACGAGCCGCCACGATCCACTAAGATCTTGCCACGGATGTTGTCGTCAGCTCATTACCCTCGCCTTGCTTCTTCGTTCCTTGTACTTCTTCCTGCTTCTTCGTCCCCTCCCTTTGTTCAACCTTTCATGCAATCAGGAGATCGCATAATTTTGGAACCCCCCTCGCGTCACATATGTGACGAACCACTTCCCAACCCCGTGCTATCTTTCGTACCCCCTTGGCCCAATACCCCTTTGTGTATCATACCGACCCCACAGAACCCTCATCGCTTTTCTTGATTTCGGGCGCCTTGTTTGAGCCCCCATTTTTCGGGAGTTCTATTGATTTTTGGAATTCTGACTTTTGCAATTCGGGAAATGCACGGAAAATTTTGCTCGCCTTAGCGAGCGCAATGAGAATCGGGCTCGACTGTTAGGAATTACGGAATAAGCGGAGCCCGATGTATCTTTTTCCTTGCATGAATGTTCTCGGTCACGTCGGAGAAAACTCTAGGAATTTTGCGAGAATACGGATAGGCGTAGGACTTTATCTTCCCGCGTCGACTTTCGCGCGCGGATATGGTGATTTCAATTTTTTAATTGGTGTAGGATATAGGCAAGCTCTAACTGTTTCGGTGTCTTTTTCTCTTGTTGTCGGCACCGCGCATGCGAGCATCCTCCTCCTTATTCCCCCCGACATCCTTCCCCTGCACTCTCCCCTCTCCTTTCCCCCTCTTCTCCTTCTCTTATCGCAACTGTTTTTCTCTCGCTGCCTTTTGCGCGCCTGCTTCCCTTTCTTGATCGTCTGAATCTTGGATCCGTCTTGCTCTGCTTTTCGCGCTTCATCTCTTCCCGCTCATCAACCTTGACTCACGGAGCCCGGTTAATCCTCCGATCACCCCTGCTCACCAATCAGACGCGTTGAACAAGAGGATCTTCC